CGCCGCCCCCACCGCCACCCGCAGCCCCCACGCCGGCGGCCGAGGCGGCCGCGGAGACGACGCTCACGCTGATCGGGAACTCTGTGAAGACGCCGGAGCGCGTCCTGGGCGCGGAGAGGCCCATCATCACGTCTGTGGTGAGGAAGGCGGCGCCCTTCAGCTGGAGGAACAAGTTCCTGCGAAAGTACCGGGCGCTGCGAGCGCACACGGCGCAGCACGCACACATCTAAAGGAGAGGAACTTGAACTTGACGAGTAGCGTCTCTCTGTGAAACTCTGTGTGAGGATCTCGGCGTGCGCTGTTGCAATGGTGCGTGGTTGCGTGCGGCCTGTGGGTTTGCGATTTTTACCCCCTCACTCCAAACGGGCAGTACCTCAGTGCTTGAAAAGTGTGTGACTTTAGTTCGTACTAGTCAAAATATCATGTGAACAATGTCGCCAACAAAATTGCCAGGCACACTTCTCATTTATTTTTGATTTAAAGAAGAAACACGGGTTTAGTAGTATAGTCTTAGAAGGGGCTCTATATGTTGTTTGTTGTGGGGTCGAAGATGGACCTCATAGATCTCAGCGGGTAAATGACAACGATTTGGGGAAACTTCTTATTTATTAATCTGGTCGTACTCGTACAAAGTAAGGAAGTCATTTTTCATCTATGATGCTCTCTAATCGGGATGTTCTGGCATTCTATTCAAATCCATAGGTGTCTAGATTATCACTGTCTAAAGATTAAATTAGTCCAGAATTTATTTATATACTCAAGACTTATTAGGTTCACTACTTCTGTTTTTTTTTTTTTGTTTTTTTTCCTGACACTTTTCTTGAAGAATGCTAAAGCTTCAACAAAGGTTCAATAACTTTTATTTTACCATATCTGTCATCCAATTCTAAATAAAATACTTTTGCTACACACATTAAATGTTCTAAAAACAAATGACATAGAGAATCATTTCTCGAATAACTTATAAAAGACACCTGTCTCTTACAGTTTTATTGAAAAAAGCTCAAACAAGACATTCCAAAGTGTGGTTTAAAAAACTTTTTTTTTCCATTTTCATTTGTGTTGTGTGACTGTTAATCGTCACAAACGTTTGTGACTGCCTAATTCTGTAGTATTGTGAGTTGCTGTTTTTTTTTTTTTAATACTTTTGCTTGCAAGCTTTTTGCTTGGATGTGTTAAGTCAGCTTATTGTAAGAGCTGCAGTTTGTACAAATTCTTAATCTTCCTTCAATGTTGAACTTTGTTTTGTCGCTCAAATATCAGAGTACTCTTCTGGCTGTTATGTACGTTACAGTGAATTATTGAATGGATGAGTAGTTAGAGTACCAATGACGAATGAATGAATGAATGAATGAATGAATGAATGAATGAATGAATGAATGAATGAATGATAAAGCCCCTTGCTCAAAGCGCCAACGCGTTAAATGCGCTTAAGTTGTTTCTAGCCCAGCCAGAAACGTCGTATCGATATTCGTCCAATCGACATCGACTGGTCGAAAAATTCATCGTTTCGGCGTAGTTTTGGCCCTCACGTTCGACCAACGATGTCGAAATAACGGCGTTACTACATGTCAATTCTGGCTGGGATAGCCGCCATACGAATAAGTCGTTATCGTTATTTTGAAGTCATCATGGCGGTGTTTTAGCTAAAAATTTTGACTTAGTGTACACGTTTTGTGGGCAGTAGTTATTTTGACGTAAATATGGTGTCATTTGTTCGTGATAACTTTTGAGTCGGTGACGCATTTGATGCGCGTCGTGCGTACTACAGTGATTTTTCGATTTTTGCGGATTGATTATTGCACGCGAGCCACCCCCACCACTCCACTCGGCCAGCGAGCGACGGCTGAGCTGTGACAGGTGACAGGTGACGAGACTGTCACAACTCAGCCGAGCAGGGGACCCGGTCGCTACCTGGGCACGATCGATTATTGCGCGTGGCAAAGCCCAAATCACGTGCAAAAATCGAAATATCACTGTACATGGGCATTGAATGAGTGATATGCTCTTTAAACGCTTCACCAATCTGTCACCTTCAGGGGGCATTTCTACACGCATTGAAGCGCTTTAGGGGAAGGATTGGGTTTGCGATTGGATGGATGGACGGATGGATGGATGGATGGATGGATGGATGGATGGATGGATGGATGGATGGATGGATGGATGGATGGATGGCTGGATGGATGGATGGATGGATGGATGGATGGATGGATGAGGTGTCTGTAGTCACTTTGTGTTCCTTGTGTCGTGAAAAAGTAGCACAAGCATACTGTCAAATAAATAAATGATGAGACATTATTATATGAGCGTGTACTACTTGTAATATATACAGTAGGTGGGCCGACCCCCCCCCCCCCACACACACACACACATTTTATATCGGATTGTTTTCAATCGCACGTGTATTTTGAACTAAAATGGGCATTTACCCAAATGGTCACCACTTCGATTAACGATGTAGGTACACAGGATTACAGCTGGATTACACCTTTTGACCCCGTGTGAGTATGCAACCCGGCCCCACGACTACATACAGTGAAAGCAAAATAATGGCCCCGGTGGCTCGGCGCGGGGCAGGAGAGGGGGGGGGGGCGCTTCTACCACTACTCAGTCCCGTCTTCAATCAGCCGAAAGCCGTAAGCTCGAGGTCGTAAGCCGAGTTGTAAGAAGATCTGTTTTGCGCTTCTGCCAACGGCTTCGGTTAGGGCTTAGAACAACTCGTCTTACAACATTGACGGACACCCGAGCCGGAAAGTCAGTCCCCACCATCAGATTGGTCACAAAACGTCAAAATGATAAAAAAATTCGCATCACTTTGACGTCTTTTTGGCCGAGTCGCTGAAGCTTCAGCCAGAGAGGACTTGCGCTTTAGAAAAGCATCTTAATCTGTCAGCATATTATCCTACGACTTTCATTCAAATTTTGTTTATCTTAGGAAAATAAGGAGCATCAAATGATTAAGCCAATTTTTGGCCTAGATCATTACTTCTACTATACTTAGTTCATTAAAGTGGGGAGTGACAGTTTATGGCGATAAGCACATGGAATTATGTGGGCTTTTCGGTTTGCTTTCCATATCAGCGTAAATTCCAACAACATACATTTAGACAGGGGGGACATGTACATAGGGGGTTCCGGCCGAGCCGACGTGGGGTGAGGGCGCCTTCACGTCGCTCCGTCTTCTGCTTCGTATTTTGTCAGTTGGTATAATCGCAGCTTTCCGAGTCGACTTTAGTACCAGTGAATCGGCGTTGTGCCCGCGAGTGTCCTCGATCGTTTGTAGAAAGGGGGGGGGGAGGGGGGTGGTCATTGGTCATTCCCTATGCGTGTCACCAGAGGGTGATTTCACTGCCGCCTACCACTTTCTGAAATTGAAGTAACTAGCTTCGAAGGAGTAACGTGGACATGGTGGAGGAAAATAAAGCACTTCTTAAATCTTCGTATTTTTTAAAAAAAACTTTTTGTAAACTAACGTATTTATTAAACGTACGAAATACGAAACGAAAGAATCCCATGGATTCTTTTTTCAGCACTGTCATGTTGGCAGTGCCTCACTTGGCTTGGCTATGGGTTCTTCTTGTTTTCTTCTTTGAAATCTTCAAAGTTTGTTATTGTTTTGCGAACTCAGCATCTCAGCAACTAGTGGTTGAAGCGGTTAAAGGGGAGGTCAGTATCTCACCCAGAAAAGGAAGTTCTATCAATATTGTCTTTACCCTCTTGCGACTTCATACTTACTATGTTAGATTGATAAAATCATTGGTGCCGGTCGTTTTCTTTAGTTTAAGTGGTCCCTTCCCACTTCGTTGCGAAGGTAGTTCTTCACACATGGCGCATATGCATTCCTTCGTTAAATGCAATCCTTCGTTTCCTTTCCTGAGCTCCTACTCTCTATTTACTCAAATTTTCCAAGAACGTTTTCAACTACCTTTTTTCGCTCGCGAGCCCGAGTTCGGAACCCGACTCCCTGCCGAGTTTGTAGCCAGACAGTTTCGTTAACTAGTGACGCTATTCTCGCGCTTCGTTGCCCTTTTCCCTTCATACTAATTATTTCGGTTAATAAATGCCTTATCATGTGAGATGAGCAGCTGGTGTGCTGATGAGAGTAATCCAATCAGCACTTACGTTGTTGTGCGTGGTTCGGCAAGTTGTGTCAACATGTCCACATATGCTCTCTACATATAAAAAATTTGTCTGTTAATTTCAGAACGTTTGCTGTGAAACACTGCTACCATGCTGCCATCCCCGCAACAGATTTGTTTTCCGAAAGATGAAGCTGTTAAGGTAATTATTCTCAACATTTTCATTAACTTTTTCAATGTGTATTCAACAATCTCAATGGTTTGCAGGCTTACATTCAATATATTGGTGAAGATGGTTTGCTATGGGTAAATCTGGCATCTGATCTTCATAAGGTCGAAACTATTACAAATACCTTAAACAGCATACCTCTTGACGAAATGAAAGAAAGTCCAGCTGTGCATGAAATTGTTTGTGCTTTGCACAATGACGACACCTGGTATGTTATTGTTTTCCTTCAGTGAAATCCTGTTGAAGTTGATTCTCTTCAATTAGCTTTGTTTTACACACATTTGAAGCGTGTACACTGAGGTCTTTTTATATTTTTAGGTACAGGGCTTGTGTTTTGTCAACTGAACCTAATTTTAAAGTTCAGTTTATTGACTTTGGGGATACACTTGACATTCCTTTATGCAAATTGGCCCAACTCCCAGACACACTTGCATACATCCAACCTCTTGTAAGCTTTTGGTTTTATGTCGTTTTTTTTTTCCTATTCTCTTTTCTTACCTTGTTCCTCTCATCACTTACTAATTTCATTTCTTTGGTCTTGTATCATAATAGGCTGTAAAAGTAAAGCTCCCACCAAGCACAACAGCTGAACCCTCTGTTGGCTCTAGCTTGCTTTTACAATATATTGACTGCGTAAGTACACTTTTTAGAACAAGTGTTAGAATATACAAACTAAAACTAAACATCTTTTTTTAAATTCATTTATTTTTACAGGTTGAAGGGACAGTGATGGTAGATGTTATTCATCCTGATTCTGGAACAGTTGACACTGTTTCTTGTGAGGAGTTTGGTGAGACCCAAGATTTTTCAAATCATCAGACTTATTCAACTGCCTCAGAAAATTCTATTTTATTAGACAATGCATCTGGACTAGGATCTTGTAATACATACCAGACACAGAATCAATCTAGTCAGCATGAACTTGAATCAACATCCACTTCTGTTAACAATACTGTCTCATGTTTCAAAGACGAGGAACATTTGACTCTCAGTGAAGAGGACAATGGGTTCTCATATACCACTGACCAGGCAACAGACCTGCTTGCAACCCCTTTTTTCGACGAAACATTGACTCTTCAATGTGGAGCTGAAGTTACTTCACATTTACCTAAGTTGTCCAATAGCAGTAAGAATATGAATGTGGAAGAATGCAACCTTGACTTGTCATTTGAAGATCGACCCAAAAGTGGGACTGTTGTGACCCCTCAGAGTAATTCATTCATTACTGATTATCCTTATTATGTAGAACTAACAAGTGATGAAAAATGTGATAGTCGGTCCAGAAGTGATGGGGCAGTTATTCCACAGTCTGATGGTGATGCTGAAGATAAAGCTGGAGAGTCATTACCCACACATTATAGTGAAGAAACAATATTTGCAGAAGAATGCACCACTGCTTTGCCATGTACAACTCAGCCAGAATATGATGAACCTGACATTTCACCATCTGATAGTGACGCCTCATGCAAGGCTGGAGAGCCATCATCCACACACAATAGTGAAGAAACAATAGTTGCGGAGGAATGCACCACTGCTTTGCCATGTGCAACTCAGCCAGAATATGATGAACCTGACATTTCACCATCTGATAGTGACGCCTCATGCAAGGCTGGAGAGCCATCATGCACATACAATAGTGAAGAAACAATAGTTGCAGAAGAATGCACCACTGCCTTGCCATGTGCTACTCAGCCGGAAAATCATGCATTGGACGTTCCACAGTCAGATGATGATGCCTTTTTCAAGGCTGGAGAGCCATCACCCACACATGATAATGAAGAAACAATAAATGCCGAAGAATGCACTACTGCCTTGCCATGTGCAACTCAGCCAGAATATAATGCATTGGACATCCCACAGTCAGATGTGTGTTACATCTCACAGTCCACTGATGACGCCTCATGCAAGGCTGGAGAGTCATCATCCATATTCAACATTGAAGAAACAATAGTTGCAGAAGAATGCACCACTGCTTTGCCATGTGCAACTCAGCCAGAATATGATGAACCTGACATTTCACCATCTGATAGTGATGCCTCATGCAAGGCTGGAGAGCCATCATCCACATACAATAGTGAAGAAACAATAGTTGCGGAAGAATGCACCACTGCCTTGCCATGTGCTACTCAGCCGGAAAATCATGCATTGGACGTCCCACAGTCAGATGATGATGCCATTTTCAAGGCTGGAGAGCCATCACCCACACATGCTAATGAAGAAACAATAAATGCCGAAGAATGCACTACTGCCTTGCCATGTGCAACTCGCCCAGAATATAATGCATTGGACATCCCACAGTCAGATGTGTGTGACATCTCACAGTCTAATGATGACGCCTCATGCAAGCCTGGAGAGCCATCATCCATATACAATAGTGAAGAAACAATAGTTGCAGAAGAATGCACCACTGCTTTGCCATATACAACTCAGCCAGAATATGATGCATCTGATATCTCACAGTCTAATGATGACGCCCCATGCAAGGCTGGAGAGCAATCACCCACACATGATAATGAAGAAACAATAAATCCAGAAGAATGCTCTGCTGCTCTGTCGTGCGGAACTCAATCAGAACATGATGCTACTGCCAGTCCTCAGTCCAATGATGGGGCCCCATGCAACGCTGGAGAACTGTCTCCTAAGTATGGTTATGAAAAGCTAACAAATGCAGAAGAATGCACTGCTCCCAGAACTGTAAATCAGCCAGAAAATCATGCATCAGTTGTTGCACAGCCTGATAATGTCTCAGGCAGAGCTGGAGAGCTATCAACTTCTTATGTTAATCTAAAGCTGAATTCTGAAGTATGCACCGCTGTTCTGTCAGTTGTAAATGAGCAAGGAAATAATACATCTGTCATTCCCTTATGCGAAGCTGAAGAGCTTTCACCTACATATGAAGATGAGCTGATAAATGCCGAAGACTGCTCTGCAGCTCTGTCCTGGACAAATGTCTTATTCAAATCTGAAGATCCAGTTATTCCTACACCTTCATATGATGTGAGGCTAATTAATAATGACAAAAACAATCTTGGCTTGCGTTCTACAGATCTGCTCAGTGACCAGTCTGTCATGACAAATGCAGATGCTGCTCTTGTTGTATGTGAAGCTCTTGAGTCAAGTATTCCACCACTGAAATATAATGATGTGGTTATCAATCCTGACAAAGGCAATCCTGCCCCATCATGTGTAAATTATCCAGAATCTGGTATGAAATGTAAAGTTGTGGAAGAAAATAATATATCTCCTCCCTATGGCCAAGATCTTATTGGTACTGACAATGGAAAAAGTCCTAACAGACAGTCGAAGAATATAACAGTATCTGGAATTAATGAGCATTCTCTTCAGAAGCAAAAACCATGCAAACCAGCGAATTTGGAATCAACGGATGTGTCACTCCCCTCTCCTAAAGATGCCTTTAAAGACAGATACAATCTCCCTTCCAATTCCTCAAATATTAATGATTCCAACATGCATCGCCAACAGAAACCCAGATTAATTACAAAGGGGCGCACAACGGATACATGTAGCAATGTACTTACAAAAGATTCTATGCAGTCAGCTAGAATTCCATCTTCAGTGATGGCTGTCCCAACCAAGGCTGTATCTAAGTAAGTTTTGTTTTCCTCTCTTACCTTTTTATTATCGTGAAATATGTAATACTAATAGAAACCTTTCTTGTCCAAAGTTCTTTTCAGGAATTGAAGTCGATTCTTGAATTAGAGTTATCAATTGTGAGGGAACAAAACAGACTTGAAATGTTGGCACTTCAGAAAAAAACGGAGCAAAATTTAGCCAATCAGATTGACACTATCAAGATGGAGGTGTCAAGGCAGCTTCAGGCGCTCTTCCATGAAGTCAACAACAGGCTTCAGTCCCTCCATGATTCTATGGTACATAAATTGGCTGAAATGTATTCAGATATCAGTTTGCTGAAGAATGAGTTGGAAGCTGGTGAAAAAAATACCAAATCATCTGCAAAACATTCTGGGAAAAAGCATCAGCCCATAGACACCCAGAACACTTCTATTGCTAAAGATTTGTTTTGGAACAGTCAGCATCACTACCCTGTAGAGCTTGGTGCTCAATTTGGAAATAATTATTATTTGAGCTCACAGAAACACAATGCACCCTCTTCCAGTTTTCAAGGAGAAGGAAAGAGTGGTGTAAACCAGCCAATGGTGCACAGCAATGATAAGATGTTAGAAACGCCAAAAAGTGACCAGTTTTCAGCAGGAACTGCTATCTGTCATCCTAGCTTGAATCAAAATAATTATCAACACCACTCCACCTATCCAAAGATGGTACATGGGTATTCTTTTTGTGCATTATTGAACTGAAGTGCCGCACTGGTCTAATATTCAATATTTTTTCCTTAGGATCACATTGAAACTGGGCAAGGTGTTCAGGATGCTGCCACAAACAAACCTCAATCTAGAATAGTTTCTGTAACCAACTTAAATACTCAGGTTTGGATTTAATTATTGAGCTCATTATTCCACAGTCTTTTTAGTGTGTGTAACTTGTAATTTTGTATTTCCTTTTCTTAAAACAGAAAATTAACCCAAACCATCTCTTCAATCTGTTCGGTAAGTAATTTCCAACCTTTTCTCCAATCTTTAAATTGCTCAGGGTATAAAGGCTTCTGTCTGTTGTTTTTAGGAGTCTATGGTAAAGTATGTCTGGTGAAGATCAACACAGCCCAACACAAAGCTTATATTGAAATGGCTGATGCAAATCAAGCCAGAGAGGGTATGTATCCTTCAGCGGTGATGGTGGGGTACTTGCATTATTTTTGATATAAAACTTCCACCATCTACTTGTACTAATTGTTTGTTGTACCTGCAGCAATTTGTCATCTGAACAGTGTTCCTTTGATGGGGCGGAGGTTGCGTGTAGTGCCTTGCAAATTTGACAAACTTCATTTAAAACGAGAAGACTTTCAAAACGATATGTGTAAGGACTTTACTAAATCTCCTCAACATAATAAATCTCAGCGAACAAGGTTTCAAAAGATACCCCCAAGTAATACTCTTCAGATATTCAACATTCTGTAAGTGCTGCTTTGGGTTGCTATCTCATTACAATAATTTTTTCTTTATTCACTAAAATTTTATCTTATCTTGTCATTTCTAGAAACACAGTGTCACAGGATAAACTTAAGGAGGTGTTCTGTAAGGGTGGCCATCCTATGAAGAGCTTAAGAATGGTGAAGTAAGTTGTGAAAGAATTACAAGTTTAAATAAGAGTTCTAATTCATGTTTATCGTTTATTGTAATCTGGGTTTATGTTTGGGTAAGCACAAATTATCATTTTTCTTTGCATTTCAAGGCTCAATGATGAGAAGAGCAAGGCCTACGCTGAATTCGGCTCTGTAGAAGAGGCTGTGAATGCATTAACAGTAAGCATCTTTGATTGAGCTGTCTATGCAGTGACTTACAATACCTGTAATGGTTGGTGTTTGTGATTCTAGGTCATGCACCTCCAAGAAACAACCGATTGGGTGAGAATGTTTATTGCTTTTTCAAGAGGAAATTAAGGTATCATTTTTTATTTTTTTATTATTATTAGAGCAGTGCACTGTGTCAAGTTCTATTTTCCTTTCCTTTTGTTATGTTTGCACATTGTGAAATGCTCAAGAGTGCTTTTACTCTTTTTTCTTTAATGTACTGAGCAGGTAAACTAAGTGCATGTATGAATTTAAAATCATGAATGTATGTTCATCTTGTAATTGTGGAAATAAATTGTTACATACTTCAGTAACACAACCAAGACTGTACACTTTATTTACATGATAAATATACAAAGTACAGTAAACGTGGACTGGATCATGTCATACACCTAGGCTGTTTGATTAGAGACTATTAATTTGTGTCCTCACATCTATATTAGAAATCTTCTCAAATGCAAAGTTTTAACAAAATATGCCTTTTTGAAAAAAGAAAACAATTACCTAAGAATGAAATGAAATGTTTTAAAACTGCACCTGAATCACTAGCTTTTTTACTCTTCAAAATCATACATAACCCAACCCTCAGGAGCAACATGGTAACATCCTTTGAGTTAAGAAACACTCCCACAAGGTCCCACCACAAACGCGTGAAGTAGAGAATAAATTTCAACCTTCTGTGAGATTCTTCGAAGCAACAGAAGATGCCCTTGTTGGTAAGTAAGTGAATTTTGTTGGCACTACCTGCATCTTTCAATAAAATTTAATGAAGTCTATGAAATAGCAAGGCCAATAACATTTTCATTGAGTGATGCAAATAAATACATGACCTGGAAACCAAAATTATCAATGCACTATTTGAAACAAATGCTGCTTCAGATAGTTTATACATACCATCACCTAGTTAACAAAATCATGAGTGATTGAAACAAAAGTAACAGAATACTTTTAATATATGTGCTGCTTAATTATATTTGTTATATTTGAGACATCACCCATCACCTCAGAGTTTCTACTAGCGCTTCTTCACTTCTACACCCGAAATAATCCATTTGCAAAATTGTGCCTTTGGCACTTGACTAGAATGAATAAAGTTTATAAAAGTGTTGGAAAAACTCACTTAAAAGAGTCTTGCCAATAGTCATTCTGGTGTCATGTAAGTAATCAATTAAGATAATGAGAGGCATCATGAGAAAATTTCCTTCTTTTTGCAAGAAGATTGCTTTCTATAGTATAAATGCAGTTAAGTCCTAGTAAATAGTATGTACACTAACACAAAGTATAAATGCATTTTAACATGTTGTAAGCCAATGCTCAAACAAAATGATTTATGATGGTACTGTAGAGTTGAAAATCAGCAATGTCCCTAGAAAAAAGTGATTTGAAAATCAATCAAAAAACAACTACTGGATTGCAAATGGGAAAAAAAAAACACAATTGTGTTTCACAGATGTAATGGGTATAAGATATCTAACAATGGAAGACCTTGATAGGAATACTTATGATGCAAGGTTCATATGATTATTAGTAGGATGAGAGCAAATAAAGTGAAAGTAATGACCAAAGATGTTCTTAAATGGTTCAAAATAATTGTGCTCTTCAGAGTCGAAACAAGAAAATCAAAGGTCACTCCACATAAGCCTAACATGCCTAGACGAGAGATCATAAATATTAAAAATCAATTATCTACCTATACAATGAAACTGATTCCAATAAATTTTCTACGCATTATGCCTCACACCATTTTGAGATCATATGTACTAGTACATGACACAAGGATGCTAGATAAGATGTCCACAACCAGAGAAGCAAAAATCACATTGCTAAGCAACACAAAATTAAATTAAGAGAAAACATTATACAATACATAAAATCAAAATAAACATAGCAATAACTATTAATTGCTCCTCTGATTTTGGCTGACAACAAATAAATACACAAAACATAGCATGCAACTCTTTGAAGTAACTTCCCAAGTGATTTACTTCATACTGTGGCTTATTATGCACACAAGAATCAAGAAGGGTTAATAACAGTCTTGTAAAACATACAGTATTTCTGCCATGTTTGCAAGGATTCCATCACACATCAGGAAGGATGCATTTTACCAGCTTTAAAAGGCCATAGAAAAATTTCCACATCACATCTTTTTCTCAGATAATGATGTTACTGAAGTATGCTTACATTGCAAACATAAACAGAGGGATTCCATTGAACAGAAAGAGGCATTGTTGAATCCTTTGAAATGAATGTTTTATCTCCTTTCCAATCTACCAGAGCTTTTTTTCTTCTTTTTTTTTGTAGCAAAATGAACTTTATCCTAATCTCACAGTGGCCTGGATGTAACAAAGATTTTGATAAAGAAATACACAAATCGGTGCCAGTCATAAGTTTCCAATGAGTCACACTTAGAAATAAAAGTTTGTCACAAAGGAAGGTACTAAATAAATGACCTAGTCTGAGATCGATAGATAAACTTATTGTATACACTAAAGTACCCCCCCCCCCCCCCCCCCCCATTTTTCCCTTCCCCAATTGAATTCCCCCTTTCTCAAAACAAATTTCTAGCAAGAATATACATACATACAGGAAATGTAAACAAGTACAAATGTTAGGGGGCTGGTTGATTGGCTAATTCAAGATAACAATGAAAATTTTACTAATTTAACACAGCTACAGTATTTAACATGTAGCAACTAATAATAGTTGTCAAGTGGCTGTAAAAAACTCTTGCAATTTACGAACTGTTTTTGCATCTAGAGCACATAGATCAAAATCGAAAGTCTGTTTAGTTATCTTATATTTCCCAGTATCTGCAATAACCTGGACAACACTTTTTAATTCTTCATTATTTTCTAAGGTCATTATTTTACGTTGTAGTTCCCTAAGTTGAGAGACATATTCCTCAGTAAATTCTACTCCAAGTTTTGTCCAACCAGCTGGGTCAGAAGCATCTTGTAGGGCTGCATCTGGTTCTGTGGTTGTAGAGTCTGGCTCTTCATTTGTACTAAGGTCTTTTCTTGGAATTTTTGCTGAAGGTTCGTCAGCAGATTTTTCTTTCTTTCTTTTCCGTTTCTTCTCTTCTTTATCTTTTTTCTTCTTCTCCTTATCAGCACTGGACCCTCCTTTGCTTGGTCTGCCAGGTTTGCGTTTTGACGGTGTCACATCAGAATCACTGCTTTTTTTACCCTTAGTCTTTTTATTCTTCTTTCCTATTACTGGACTACTTGGAGAATTTCCTGTAGCAGGTTGAGATTTTTTTTTGCTGATTTGAGGAGATGGCGGACCTGATGCATCTGACTCATTTTTCACTTCTACAGTGTTGCTTAGCACAGGCTTTTTGCTCTTTTTAGATTTAAGTACTTTCCGGTCAGATAAACTGGAAGAATCCTCTTCATCTGACTTTTTGGGTGAAGGAGAGTCACTGTCAGATGATGAGGAAGAGGAATCATCATCAATATCTTCCAGTAAAGTTGTCAAAGGCTTTTTCTTCACACTTTTTGGTGGGCTTGGTGACCTTCTTCTCCTCAATTCTTCAGCCTCCTTAGCAATGCGTTCCTTCTCGCGCCTTTTTTCTTCATCTTTCCGCAATTTCTCTCTTTCTCTCTCTTTTTCCCTTTCCCTTTGTTCAAGCTCTCTCTCTCTTTGCTCTTGTTCCTTCAAATCCCTTTCTCTTTGTTCACGCTCTTTCTGCTCTATTTCTCTCAGCTCTCTCTCTCGTTCTTCCTTCTCTCTCCTCTCTCTGGCCTCTCTTTCTTCACGCTCTCTCCGATCTTTTTCACGCTGCTCCCTCTCCCTTGCCTCTCTTTCCCTTGCCTCACGTTCTCTTGTTTCTCTTTCTTCGCGTTCTCTCCTTTCTTTCTCACGCTGCTCCCTCTCCCTTGCCTCTCTCTCTCTAGCCTCCTTTTCTTCTCTCTCTCTTCTTTCTTTTTCACGCTGTTCTCTCTCTCTCGCTTCTCTCTCTCTTGTCTCCCTTGCCTCTCTCTCTCTCGCCTCTCTCTCTTCCCTTTCCCTTCTTTCTTTTTCACGTATTTCTCTTTCCTTTGCCTCTCTTTCCCTCTGAAGCTCTTTCTCTTTTTCTTCTTTTTCTTTCTTCTCCTTTTCCCTCTGTTCTCTCTCTTTGGCTTCACGTTGCACTTGTCTTTCTTTTTCTCTCTCAGCTTCTTCCTTTCGTTCCTTTTCCCGTTGAGCTTCCCTTTCACGTTCTCTTTCTTTTTCTCTTAAAACGTCCCTTTCCTTTTCTTTTTCCCTCTCTTTTTCTCGTTCTTTCTCTTTTTCCTTGGATCGTTCTTCTTTTTCTCTGTCCTTTTCTCTGTCTTTATCTTTCTCCTTATTTTTCTTCTTGTGTTTATGTTTCTCCTTGTGCTTGTCCTTGCTCTCTCCACTTTCAACCTTTTCCTTACTTTTATCTACACTTTCTTTTGATTTCTTCTCCTTTACTTTCTCTTTTTGTTTCTCTACAGATTTTTCTATTAATTTTTCACTTTTATCCAAATTTGAACTGCTACTAGAAGCTTTACTACTTGATTCATGTTCTTTGTGACGCTTTTCTTTTTCCGATTTTTCTTTTTCAGGCTTTTCTTTTTCGGGTTTTTCTTTCTCTGGCTTTTCTTTTTCTGGCTTCTCTTTCTCACTCTCCTTTGATTTTTCCTTCTTAGCTTTCTCTTTCTCTCGATGTTTCTCTTTCTCCTTATCCTTATCCTTCTCCTTATCTTTCTCTTTCTCTCGCTCTTTTTCTTTCTCTTTTTCCTTCTCCTTTTCTTTCTCTCTTTCTTTGTCTCGGTCCTTTTTATCCTTTTTGTGCTTTTCATGTTTTCTTTCTTTCTCATCACTTTCTCCATGGTTTGACTTCTTATCTTCTTTGGAAGGAGGCTTTGAGGGTGTTATTGGTCTTTTGGGAGAAAAGGATCTTTTGGGAGATAACGACCTCTTGGGGGGTGTAGGCTCAGCACCATTTTTCGAGGAGGAACCTGTCTTTGATGGTGTAAGTGATCTTTTCGGAGAAGTTGATGGTTTTCGTTGCTCCTTAATTTTATCTCTTTCTCTGCTGCGATCTTTATCCTTTTTTTCATCTTTGTCGCGTTTTCCATCTTTATGGTGGGATTTTCCACTGCTTAAAACCTACAATGGAAAAACACATGTTATTTCTTGAAGGTAGTGTACTGCATTATGTTAGAAATAACATCTAATAAAACGGAGCATGAGAAATATTCAATATTGAGGGTATGGTTCAGAGATATTTTTCAACAATCTAATGTAAGTTATTTTATCACAACATGCACTCTAAACTTAAGCAGTGGGGTTTGATAGAGCAATGGCTAAAATTAAAATAGTTACCAAAGCAACAAAACAAGTATTTGCATTTCAGAATTTTGAATAAACTTTAAAAGCTTATAGCAGGAAAAAAAAATCTGGTCAAAATTACCAGGGTAACCTGAGAATCTTGAGTTGAGGGTGAAAGTGACAGTAAATAGAGCCTGAATAATTTTTCTAAACCAGTAACCTAGACAAGAAAAAAGTAGATTGTTCATTCTCAGTGAGAGATCTTACCTTGTCGGAAGTATGAAAAGGTTTACTGCTGCTACTGCTACTGCTGCTTGCACTGCTGCTACTAGTACTGTTGCTGCTACTGCTATTACTACTGGGTTTAGGAGTAGGAGAAGGTTTGCTGCTCTTTTGACTGGGTGGTTTGAAGAGGTCGCCATTGGAGGATGAGGAAGGGCCAGACCCAGTAAGACTACCAGAGCTGCCAGAGCTGCTGGAGGTGCGTGGGGCATGAGATGAATCATCTGATCTCACCATTTCCTGACCCGTTGAAATTTACGTGAGAGATAGAAAGATGAGTATTAGTTTGGAACGCTACTGCAAACATGCTTGGGAAAACAAAAGTGTTAAGGACGGCAGGTAATGTTACTTGAGACTAATATATAAACTAAGCTGCCACTGAGGTAACGAAAAGGAAAAGTACAGGTTATTCTCTGACTAAGCCTTATTATTCTTTCATAACTTTAAAGTCAAAAGAATACGAAATCTGAAAATGAAACTGGTCTACTGTTTTGTCCAAAAATAGCCTCTAAGAACTTGGTAGTGAATTAGAGGCTGTATCACCTTAAGAGAAATAACAGATAACAAATAAGAGATAACAGATCCATTTTAGGAACATTATTTATGCTGTTCGGTCATGGTTTATTCCACTAAAGTAGCATTTATTGCAAAAATGTTCATTGAAACACATTTGAAACAATAGAGGGCAGGAATTACGGTGTAAGATAGATCTGTTATCTGTTATTTGTTATCTGTATCTGTTATTTCTCTTAAGGTGATACACCCAGACTAATCATAGTTTTGAGGAGCCGTTAAACATAATACAATCATGCTGTTACACAATTAAAAGTATAATCAGGGGCACACACATGCAGGCAACATAAATGTGAAAAACAGAAAACTTCTCTACAATACATAAATATTTTGGTGGGTGATGATAAACCTACTTTTGTGAAACTACTAACATTTATCTTAATAGGAATACAAGAACAAGTGGTACATACCCCTCCTCCCTTCAAGAGTCTCTTTCGAAATTCATCTGTTGAAAAGTGCACATTATGTTTTTCAATTTGCGATCGCCTTGTTGAAACTGCTGTATCCAGTTGAAGGTCATATTGCACTCGAATAATTTGGTGGTTTTTTAAATGCACTTCTATAGGAATAATGAAACCTGCATAACCTGATTCCTTCACCTGATAAGGTGCATCCTTACACACTGTAAAAATATAAAACAGTACACAACATTATATTTAAATCAGATGAAAGATAAGTAATAAAAAATAATTAATAATACCTCTTTTTGGCCGAGGAAATGTTTCATGTAGATTAAAAATAACTTTTTCAACAAAGTGGTGAATTTCAGCACCATCAACACCTCTGACATAAACTTCCCAGTCATGGGTAAAGCCTTCCTGAGTACGCTTGTTCCTTGGAACTGCTTCATGTCCAACTTCAAAGGCAATCCGTACACTCTGCAACATTACATAAAACAAATCGTAAACATTACAAAAATTTTAACTTATTTTATAAGCAAGACAGGAGAAAGAATAGAAAAATCAGACTAAAAGTTTTATGGGGTAACAATAATATGAGGTTTTGATATACAAGAATAAAAGCTCTCCAAGACACAAACCATGTTCTTCATAGAAAGTACAATAGAAAGATAAGATTGAAATAAATACAGTTGTCTGATTGAAATCACAGTTATTCAGAAAACACAAATGTCTCCATAAACAATCTCTAACCTGTAACTATTTATCTAGCTACTTTTTACATGAAACCATCAAGTAAATATGTTAATGAACCGTAGAAGCTGAAACATCATCGAAAGATGCAACGTTTAAGCTTAAATTTGAAACTAGTGATTGGCTTTCTCTTTAACAATTTCATTTGTTATTGTACTAGTTAGCTTCTTGTTTTGGGCGCAAAGGAAGCCGTTTAAGGATATACTAAATGTGATGCAAAAATATACTTACGGAATGTGCCATTGAATAGATTAAATTAGAATTAGTGACCAAAGTCAAAAATTACAAACTTGTACGCAAAATCACAATATAACCAACAATTGTTTGGGTCGTGAACTTCTTCGTAACACCACCTTCCATTTTGTTGTTGGGTAGAAATGTTCGTCTGCTGTTGATTGTGAGATTGGTAAATGTGGCCACCACACGAATAAATTTTTTCAGAGATAGGAAATAAGGGGATGAAAACTGTTGTATTTCGTTTTTTCAGAACTTTAAATGGAAAGAGTATTTGTTGGAATCGTAGTTATGTCTTGTAATCATTCACAGCGTTGAAATGATTGAGGCTACGCAGATGATGTTACAGTTGGTAAGGCGTTGACAGAAAAAAAGACCAAAAACAGTAAGAAAATCTTCAATGCAACCAAAACATTGCACTTTTGTAAGGCGTTATTTCATTCAGATCAATATGGCCGCGACCCTCAGTTGTCAATTATTATGTGTTTTGAACGGCGAGTTTTAGTTTAATGGAATTACATTTTAAATGCGTGGTCTTTCCTGCAAAATCTTTGATAGAACGTATTTTTATTCAATATTCATTTGACTGTTATCCCTGCCGGGGGGTCAAAGCAAAAATATGGAGTACGCTGCCCAACCAAACAACCCTATGAACTTTACAGAAAATCAACACGGCAATGTTATTTTGGAAAAACTGCGAATGCAGAAGGACAGTGGAAGATTCTGTGACGTGACACTTTACGTGGAAGGAAAGCAATTTAGGGCTCACAGGAACGTGTTGGCCTCCTGTTCGCCATATTTTAACTCTATTTTGAAAATGCAAAGAATAGTGAAGGAACATCTTACTATAACCTGCAAGAGTTCTGAGGTGTTTCAGTGTTTGCTCAACTACATGTACACTGGTAGTGTGGTCATAGATAAAGAAAATGTGTGTGAACTTGTCAGACTCTCCAACCACTTTTTGGTTCCCAAATTAAAAGATTATTGTTCAGAGTATCTGGAACGCTATTTGGATGCTACCAATTGTGTATCTGTCAAAGAAATGGCTGACAAGTACTCCATGCCCTCCCTCCTCAAGTACTGCTCTTCTTTTATCAAAAACAACATAGAAGATGTGATGAAGCAAACAGAGCTTTTAGAATCTCCTATATCTCTAGTTGAGGCATTTTTGTCTGATGATGCATGGACTGTGCCTCAATCAGCATTACTACCGTTTGTCACAAATTGGGTGTCACAAGATGTGCCAGGTCGTGAACAGCATACCAGGAAGCTTCTCACCTTCGTAGATTGGACTGCAATGGATCAGCAAGCTATTACTGAACATGTTGATCGTGATCCTTTGTACCCCCGAAGTGAAATTGCACTATACGCTGTACTCCAAGCTCTTCTCTCTAATAACTTACTATTCAACAAGTATCAGATAGTTTATGAATCCCTTCATATTAGATTTAACCAAGTAAGTACAAAACATCAGGGCTTATATTTCTTGTTTTCAAGAGCTCACTATTTTTTTTCTTTTTCTTTCAGAGTTCTTCTGTTGGAAAGTCAATTGCTGCATCCAATCCATCTGAAGATAGTACACCAAATGTTAAATTAGAAGTCCCCTCTCCTGGGTCTCCAAGTTCTAATTCAAAACTTGCTGCTGATGGTGATCAATTTCTGGTTGATGGACGAAAGTCCAAATCTGGAAAAACACCAGATACTGGTGGTAAACAAGTAGATGTTGATGATGATGAGGGAGACACTGGGGCAGATGTAGATATTACATATGAGGGTCGATATTCAGATGATTCAACAGATGATGAAAGTCAAAAACATATGAAAGAAGAGACCGATGATCAGGGGTTTGAAGGAGATGAAGGATTTTCTAAGGATGAGCCTATGATTGACATTAAAGTAGATATGGAAAGATCTGTGAGAACTGGAGATGAAGACGAAGAGGAGGATGATGATGATGACGACGAAGACGATGATGATGACGACGACGACGACATGGAGGTAATTATTTTTCTGTACCTTATTATTGTTGAGTAATAAGTATTTTCTTATTTTTATCTCTTAATTAACCATTTATTAACTATTTACTTCTTAATTAACCCTAAAACTCTTTTAGGGTAGTGGAACTGCTGAAGATCTTTCTGCATCAAGAGACTCTGAGGGAAGTCTTTCAGAAAGTCTTTCTGGGAGTGGTTAGTATTATTATTCGTTCTATATTAATACTTACTTATCAACATTTATATTATTGCCTAAATATATTATTTTATCAGGGCATAAAGCATTATCTCGGACAAGAAGTGGTGGTGTAAGTAAGAGAAAAAGTCGAAGAATATCTATTACTAACCGAAGTCTTCGCGTGACATCTGGGAGAGGAAATTATCCTCCAGGCTCTGCCCGACGTGGACGCCCACCAGGCACAGGCAAGAAACAACGTGAAGCAGCAGCTGCTGCTGCTGCAGCCGCTGCTATGATGGATGAGGAAATGGCGATCACACTTGAAGGAGGTCTGTTTTTGATAAGACAAGTGTATAAGTAGTAAAGGAGTCATTTTTACATTTTTGAAATTTAATTTTTATTTTGTATTGTTCTTTTGGAAAGTGTTGTGCTATAGTAATAATTGTTAATGTTCCGTTTTTTGCAGATGAGCAACTAGCTGTCAAGAAATTAAAATGTAAACAATGCAAGTTCCGAGCTAGAGATGACGCTGAATTAGAAGCCCATGTCAATGATGCTCATCAGGGTGCTCATGATGTGATCTATAAGTGTAGTGAATGTGAATTTACATGTGGCTATATCAAAGATTACTACAAACATTTGAAGAAACATTTTCCTGGACCTCCATTTAAGTGTGACAACTGTACGTTTGTGTGTGTTTGTGTTAGCTCATTAACCAAAACTATATATGTGTACTGTATTATTCTGATTTTCGTTGTTCGTCATTTTTTTTTTTCTAGGTGATTATCAGTGTGATAAGATGGTAAATTTAGTTGCTCATAGATCCAAAACTTGTGATGAAAAACCACACCACTGTACCATGTGTGATTATAAGTGTCGTTCAAGACCTTACCTCTTAGTCCACATGCGGAGCCATACAGGCGAGCTTCCTTACAAGTGTTAGTATCATCAATTTCAAATAGGGTTATCATGACAACTTGTTCATAGGCAATTGGAGCCACCTATTCCTCAGGCTAACGCTGTCAGGCCTGGTATAAAAGAATAACACTTTGTCTACTTTGAAATAATTTCAGGTGATACATGTGGGAGGGCATATGCCATGCGCAGTACTTTGGAACAGCATCTCACATCTCACAGCAAAGAACAACCATATTTATGTGATGCTTGTGGCTTTGCCACAAAATATATTGCTCATTTGATGGCTCACAAGCGAATCCATACTGGAGATGTGCATCGCTGCACATTCCCAGATTGTAAATACTCCACACCAAAAAAGTCTCAGCTGCTTTCTCATGCACGCACTCATGAAGGGGTTAGACCCCATACCTGTCACGTTTGTGGAAGGGGATTTCTGGAAAAAAGTCATTTGGTATGCCTTATGCTATTAATTTCATTATTGATTGACATTCTGTTAGGTGTTTTATTTTTCTTTATAAATTGAAAAATAAATGTCCTTCTATATTTAGGTGCGCCATGAGCGTATTCACTTGGATGACAAACCATTCAAATGTGATCAATGTGATTATGCTAGCTCCAGGAGAGATAAACTAAAAGAGCACTACACACGGCACCACGGTGATAATGCTTCGGCAAGAGTTCCGTACAAGGCCAGGGTGTCACGAGTTGGTGATCCTAGAAGAGAGAATGTAATTATTTTCTTAAGTAATCACATCTTATTTAACCAATTGGTCCTCCTTGTCACTGAATAATACCTTCTTTGTTTGTGTCAGGATGCTGGAGATGATTTTAATGTTGACAATGCATCCTCAACTCACTCATCAAACCACGGAATTAACCTTACTAACCCTGGAATTATAACTGGATCTCTTGGACCAAGCTCCGGTGAGATGGCTGAACTTTTGCTGGCTCATAGTATGTCAGCAGCAGCACAACAGCATCTCAAGTATGCAACAAGTTTTGCTGGTCTTGGTGGTAATGATAGTCATATGAACATGGACTTCCATCAGCCACAACAGCAACAAATGCACTCGAACTCTCGCCTATCTCTCTCTGGAGTACCAAGCAACGGAGAGTCACTGCATGCTGAAACCAAAGATGCTTTACTAGGACAAGCTGGACCTATTGCTACACCACCTTCTGCACATCACATGCATCAATCTGCAGCTTCTGCTGCTGCTATGGCTGCTATGATGTTGGATGGAAGAGTTGGGTGAGTGCCAACCTAAGTGTCTTGTAAATAAGATTATTTTCTAAATGATTTCTACTTACTTCTTTGACATTTTAAATTTCCTTATAGGTATCATCAAGCAGGAGTTGGTTATGGTGCAGGTTCCATGTCGCAGCTACCATCCCAGTCCTCATCTTTGGCCTCATCACAAAGTAGTGAATACCCAACAATGTCATTATTTTGAAGATAGCATTCAATTATATTGTTTTCATTGTTAAAATATATCTTTGGTGCATTCCACTCTGTAAGTTGCTTGAAACCAATGCTGCCACATACTCATTTTTTCTAAAGAGTTTTATTTTGTGATGTAAAGGTTTATTACCTATAAGATGTGTCCCCTTTCTGGAATGATGAAACTCCATGTCCCTATCCCAGTAAATTTGAAATTCATATCTAATACACTTTTCCATCAAATGGGGAAGAGAGAAAAGAATCAAAAATCACAGGAAACAGTAATAAACAGATCAAATCTTTAAAAAATTTGGCTTTTCTTGGGGGAAAAAAAGTATTCTGGACTTGTTGGTGCGCCTCAGAGATGAACAAATATGATCCACATACTGGTTTTGGAAGCGTTTCTGATGCGTTTTGATTCTTTTCTTTCTTCAATATTCAGTGGAATGGTCTATTTCTTTTCCTTTTCAATGAATCTTTTTTGTAATCTTAACTGACTGACTGTACATTGTGTTTTGAAATAATTGAATCAAGCACGGGTCCAGACACCCACTTCTTTGTGGATTGTGGAGCAAGTCACGTTCCTATCTGGATTGCGTATGCTTTGTTGTTTTGAAGATTGTATGAGCCCCCCCCCCCCTTTTTTTTTCTTCACAAGACGCCACTGTATTATATATTTTAAACATTTCTGGTATGTGGAAGACTTTAATCGGAGGAAGTGCACTTAAAATATCTAGTACATTCCACAGGAATACTCTCGTGTTTCTGACAAATAATTTTTACTCGATTTTACTTTTCAACCCCTTTTTTTTCTAGGCATAAGGTGCCTTATTTTTCTTGTATTTTAAAATTGTCATTGGTTGCTGCAACAGTTTAAGTGCTTACTATTTTCACGAAACACATGTAAAATGTTCAGAAGAAATCACCACAGTCTAAAAAGGGATGATTGATCTGCAAATCAGGTCTATCCAGATTTTCACCCATAGGACAGTATTCTTATTGTTTGATTTAAAGTTAAATGTTGTTTGATAACAAATTGAAGTTCTGTATGTGCATGGGTATTCCAAAACATATATATGTTATGTTATCTGCGTTCAAAGGAAGCATATGCATGCCAAAATTATTTGTCTAATGCTCTTGTACTTTATGATAGAGCTACAAATGCTCTGTAGATTTGTATTCCATACTTTGCAAGTCATGCCTAATTTAGATTGAATTGTTATTTATTTTTAAGTATTATTGTAGTTTGATGAAACCTTGATTGTGTAAAAAGGCTTTAATAGTTGGAAATTACATCCTAACTTTGTTTGCACAATGTATGAAAAGTGGTGAAAAATTTGATTATTAATTTCAAATTTTGCCCTGCTGAGTTTGAAAGATGCATTACTTTACAGAAGTAATATAATTTTAAAGAGCTAAAGACTGAAATAGTCTTTCTAGTGATAAATATTTGTCATTGAAAGTTGTTGCTACACTGGACAATAATGAAATGTAGCATGGGTATGTGAATATGATATGTAGGTGTAAAAGAAACGTCTCTTCAATCAATTCATTTATCAACTAAACCAGGAAAGTATGTATGTATTGCAGCTTGAGATAGATTTGCCTGACCACTGACACAGGGATTAGTTTTGAAGAGAAAAGCGGGGCTAATAAACAAGACCAGAACAACTCAGGTAAGATTACAAGGTGACATATTGGAACATGAATGGTTGCTTGGCAGCTATCACCTTCAGTGTACCCAAAGTAATTTGAGTTCAAGTCAAAACTAATTACTCTTCTTCACTGATGTTCTGGACATAATTTATTGTGACACCTAGTTGATAATGAAGTCATACTGTTAGCAAATGAATACTTGGTAATTGTTTACACTAGGGATTGTTTACCCAACTATGGCAATAGTCCATTGTTCAGTGCTACTTGCAGAGCTCTTCACTTAATTAAGGAAGACAATGAGGATATGCATATCATGTGATCTGCTTGTGATACCTAATATCTCCTCTTGCTTTTTGTAACATTCTATATTAATAGTTTCCAACTTGTTTCTGACTCTTTTTGTCTTTCTTTCTACAGTTTTTTTTCTATAATGCTTATTTATTAGCTTTATATGTCAATAGCAGCTAGCAAATTAGACTGAAAAATGGAAGTTTCTTCAATGTTTTGTTTTTTAACCAGTTACCACCATGAAGAAAGTGCGGAAAATGAAAGTATTTAAGCTGTTGACTTCTTTCCAAGGCAACTTATGTCATTGTGAATGCTCAGCAGTCCATCAAATCTCATATCAGTCCCAGTTTTCCTCTTCCAACTCTCTTTTTGAGAATAACTTCAAATTCAACTAAGATTGACTTGTTAACACTGTTAGCGTTTTTTAGTTCAGTTTTATACTAAAAAAGGTATCTTTATGGGAAACAAATATATCAATAACTTATAACTGATCGTTGCTACTCCTGCATTTCTTGCAAGAATGTTACATTAAAACAGGGTACTTTTGTCTTTGTGGAAATTGTTTTGTAAGTTAATTTTCCTTTAGTGACTGATTGTATAGAGTAAATATATATATAATTTGTATTGCATTGACCCAGTGGATTGAAATTTTTTCAGTTTCCAATCTTTTGTTTGCGCTCAATGTGTCTCATCATACGCATTGTTAAGTTCTTTCTCATCAATATATATCTGTGGCGGATATGAAACTACTACTTTGTATCTTCTGTACTGTATGTGTTGAGACATCATACGCTTGTGAGCACATTGCAATTGTTTTATAGTTAGAATTTAAAAGTTCTAGCAATATAATTATCATCTGAGCAATAAGATTTGTGAGAGTTTATACAAAACAAAGTGTTTGTTGTTAAATTGAATCTCATCCTCCCTAAGAAACAACATACCAAGCGCCCAAGTGCATAAGCGTATAACGGACATCATCGAATCTGGTAGCGCCGAGACCATCTAGGGGCTTTAACTTTGAACTCCTACATCTGATGTTTTGATACGCTATCGGTCAGTCACCACGTGCCTGCCGCCTCCGACAGCGTAATCTTATAAATCGTTGTTTAAATAGAAGAAGAGAGATGACGTTAATATGGTAAATGACTTGTTCCGACTCTCCGACAACGTTTGTTCATTTATTTTACTCTGCATATCATCTTGCCCACCTTTGGCCTGGCCCAACTTAGTGCAGACCAGCTTGGCCCGACCCTGGTTGACTTTTAAGCAAGTTCCAGGGGTCCATAACTTAACGCATATAAGTTATTTATACAACATAACTAATAACGAATTCAAATAAAAGGTGAGGTTTAACATTATAGTGCATATCAGACTTTGATCCGGCACAAAAAGTCTATGACTTAATCTTTAAGTTGTCTCTCATACTTAAAAAGTTATAACTTCAACAATTACCATAAAGTTAAGAATTACGTGGACCCCAGACAAATTCATTTGTTTTGTTTTTTACTAGTTAGCTTTAGTTTTGGACGCAAAGGGAGCCGTTCAAGAATATACTAAATGTGATACAAAAATATACTTACGGAATGTGTCATTAAATAGATTGAATTAGGATTTTTGACCAAAGCCAGAAATTACAAACTCGTACACAAAATATTAGCAATTTTGGATCACATTGAACAACGCGCGATTGACGCGGTAAAGAGCCGTCTTGCAGAAGAATATCGAAATTATGGTGGATTTAGTCTTGTGAGGCAAGTTGCCTCAGCAGCTGAAGCCGCTGACCTCAGAGGTCTCTGAGGACTGCGATTGGCTGCTGAGGCAACTCGCTTCAAAAGGCTAAATCTCCTATCATTGTCAAAAAGTCATCAGAAGGATGATATCAAAACAACACCAGTCGTTTTGTCATTTTGAGATGCATAATGCTCGCAGTCTCCCATACTGGTACCCCTCGAAAGGCTGTAATTCATATGTATTCTCCTGGCGTACTGAGCTGGTCAACAAAAATTTGGACACATAAGCACAAGTGGTACAATAAGGTGACTGAGATTTTCGTGTTTTGGTGGCTGATCCCCCGTCTTCCTGTGCAGTGCATTACATTTGCATTAACAAGCCTCCTTTGGAGGGGGAATGTTGCAGTAACAAACCATCATCAAAAACATTTTCAAAAAGTGTTCGCCTTTATTTTTTAGATTAAAAATTTCATTTTAAAACTGTTGTGGTTGATCATGCAAATAAGGTCAAGTGCAAAATGCATATTAACATAAGTCTAATACTAAAAATTTTATACATGGCTGCCAATTTGCCATGAGAGTATTAGTTCCAATCATTCCAATCAGTAACACTTTTTACATTAACTACTTGTTAGAAAACTACCGAGATTTACACTACCCTTGTGCAATCAATTGCGCAATCCTCAATTGAAAATTCATTGTAAATCAGTAAAAAATATATAACTTTGAAAAGAAGCAAAAGAGATAGAAGATAAATAGTACAAATGGCAGGATGTACTGTATTTAAAATTATATAAAATCACAACCACTGAGTTGCCCTGGCAATTAAGTATTGGTTAACACGGAATACATAGTCAAAGTCTAGACTTAAGATCATAAGCTGTGACATGTAATTAATCTGAACTATTACTACAAAACATACAATTTACACTGGAGGGTTTTGAAGAATTAAGGTAAATGTCTCAAAACTGAAGTGTTAAGTATACCATGCACAAAAAGTACCCCTGGTGTCTACAGACAAATCCAAGCAGAAAATGGTACAACAGTCTGGCTCAAGATCAGATAATACAAAACAAAATTAATTTTAAAGTTAACTAAGCCATAGCAAAAATGACAAAGTTACAACCACACACACACTCACATCACTAAACATCAGTGCTTTTGCGAGGAAAATTAATTATGAAAATAATAATCCAGGATGAATATGTACGGCATGTGAGCTAGAACTAAATACATAATACTATATGAAATTATGGTTCACTTCCATATTTCAAGCACACTTCAGAAAAATGTGTGCAAAAGAAGAAGTGTCATAAATTCATATTTACAACAGAGACAGTCTTTACATGACAAATATTCCAATTAAGTTAATTATGGGCACAATATATTATCTTAATCTCAAATGTAAAAAATAAAATAAAATACAGTGACATATTTATTAAAAGTCTTCTAAAAAAAACTACACTTTGGTCAGTAATATAGCTTATTAAAGTCACCATGTTTACTAACAGTAGCTCTTCAATAATTTGAGGGTGCACCTCTAAAGGAAAATAACATAAAAGACTTACCCTGACATTTTGAAACCGATCTTAGACTGGCAATCTAAGGGCAGGACAGTGCTTCTTTTAAGCTTAATTAAGCATATAATGCAAAGTGTGAGCGGCTGCCCACAGTGAAAGTTAGACATCAATCATGATGTACAATACTGCAGTTACAGTTGATCCTAGACCTATATATCAGGTAATTTTACATTTCATTTATGGGTGTCAGTTCTGCAGGTTGGCCACCATCTTCATCAATAGTGTTTTGAGTATGTTCATCAGTCTCATCTTGACCCACATCTCCGTCAGCTGCCGATCGTTCATTGCGTTGAGCTATTGCTTGCTGCTGTAGCTCAACTACTGTGCTCTTTTTCCAATTACCAGTATCACCATTCATATTGTGATCCTCACACATACACAGGAATAGTGTATCGATAACAACCTACACGATGAGACAAAAATGGAGACAGTACAGTAATACACTAACAGTACAGCTACTAGAGCTCCAGCTAATACATCCAAATATTAGAAAATTGGTAATAGTAGCTAATCTACTTACCTCATAAATTGATAGGACACAATGAGCTATGAAGAAAGAAAATATTGCAATGACTAGAACAGGAATAGCATAAAACTTAAGGTTTTCATCCCGTTTTAAGAGGAGCAATCCTATGGATCCAGTAACGGCTGTCACAAAACATTTTCCAAGGAAGAGAATAAAGTCTCCAACACTATTCAACGTAGCCAGCTGAAGAGCATTGCTTACTAAAACACTAAATGCCTAAAACAGTAAAAAAAAGAAAAGAAAAAGAACATTGTTAAGGGAAACAACCACATAAAATGGTAGAGTACTGTACATAAGGTAGATACTTACTCTTCGTGCTGCAGAACAGAAATTAATGCCTTGCATTGCTATGACTGTGTAAGCATTGTGATTCATAAAACGTACACATTTTTCTAAGCAATAAAAGCAGCAAATGCAACACTTCAATCCACACTTGGCACACTCTGATGATTCTTCATTGTTTTTCAGTCTGCAATTTAAATAAAAACGTGGGTAACAAAAGAACTAAACTTATTTGAAATTAGTTAGATAGCTGTAATATCTGACTTACTTTGCATAAATAAAAGTGAGGATAAGACGAGGAACTTTCAAAATTGTTATTAGCATTGAACCAAGAGCCATTGAACCTAAATGGTAGCTAACCAAGTTGGTAATTGATGTCAAGACAGGAGAGCCAATACTCTTCTTTCCACTTAAAGAACAAATCAGAAAGAGAGAGAAGCAATAAATAATATAATATTAAAGAATCAGAATACAAAATGATGTTGTAACATCAAAACAAATAGATTAACTCCAGTAGCACCTTGAAGTAATACTTACCCATCAAAATACCATATAGCAACAGCACCTGCTATTACCATTTGCTGACATGCTAAGATAAATTCTGAAGTCCAAATTAGTCCAATAAGATACACCCACCACATATAACGAACCCAAGTAGCATCTATAAACTCCACAAACTTAAGAGCTGAAATAAGAGACAGATGAGAGCATAAAAATTAATGTGATACAAAAAAATGTTTTTCGGTAGGAATTAATTTTGATGCAAAAGGAAACCTACTTTTGAGCTGCCGCACAGAGACATTGCCAATACGAGGGGATAAGTTATCAGCTGATGTTGACAGTGGAGAATTTGTAACTGCTGACTGAATTTCGGGCTTGTCAAACATAGGAGCAAGAGATTTGGATCCAGGATAGGCTAGGTTAGAAAAGAGATTTTTGTTCAAAGTTGAAGTCAAAAAGAATTCATAGAACAGTTTACACAAAATTTTGCTTACTTGCTGTAGCCAGGCATACAATTACTGAGACCCAAAAAGCAAAAAATGCTAAGAGAGCTAGGAAAGTTACAAAGGGCTGGATGAATAAATATGGCATATCAATTAAGCATTCACTTGATTCCTTAAAGAGTTGGGCTAAAAACCCAATACGTTTGCGCAGGGCCCATACAATGAGTAAAATAATTACCTGTAGACAACACAATAAAGTTTATTTTTTACAAGAGGAATTTGATTCAATCTAACTACAGGCACAGGATATAGATAGCATGGATGAAAGAAAAGATTGGATCACTCACTGTGAAAATTGTCGCAAGTATAGAATACACAAGAATGGCTCTCTCATTGTGGATTGACTTGTCTAGAAGCTCACTATCAGGGGTATTATCAAGATTCCATTTAATACCAGCATAGGTATACCAAAGAATTCCAGTGCCAACTACACGGAAAAAATAAAGAATAATATTAGAGTTGTTAAATGAGATATATTGAAATGATAATTACCTGAATAAAACTCACCCACACATGCTATGCTTACAGCAATCATGAAAACATATGCTACAATTGAGGCAACAAAATGCAAGATAGCCACCAAAAATAGGGCCAGCACTGAAGACAAAAGAGAAAGATAAAGGACAAAAGGACAGCAAGAACAATAACAACAAAAAAAATTAGAAAAACACTTATCTGTTAGGTAAGGGTTTCTTTTTTTTCCAATAACTAATCAATGAATAATAAAAAGTGGAATATAGAAGGACTTACCAAGTGCTAGACCACAGAGAGCAAGTATTACTTCCCATGTATCATACAAATCTGAAATAACTTGCTCAACAGTATCCCATTCATTAAGAAAGCTATATATTCCCCCAATAATTTGAGTTGTAAGCTCTTTCACTGGTCGTGGTACACAGCGATGCAAAACAGAAATGCTGCAACAAAATAGACACCAGATATTTGAAATGTGTAAGCTTCAAACCTCATTAGACAATGATCAACAAAGAATTTCCAAAGATTAACAGAATGCCCTACAGAAACTTGCCTGTTGTAAACTGGAAGAGGGGGACATGGGCCAAGAGGGTACGTTAAAGAGTCTGTTGACTCAGCAATTTTCAGTCTAACATCACTTAGCTCACTTTGCAAATCAAAATCATATCTAAAAAACATAGAAAAAAAATAATTAAAGGTAGAATAATGACTTCTTAAAACCTCTCTTAAATTTTCAGTCAACTTACGTGCACAAAGATGTACCAGTCCTGTTCCAAAAGGATTTCAAATCTTGGAGGGTATTAATATTTCTATCCGGACATTGTTTAACACAAATCTGTAAGGATTGTTTCAGATTTTTCACATCCAAATAAAAAAGATATCTAAAAAGAGAAATAGCCATATTATGGGACAATCACTTGGTAAAGAGCTAAATTATATTTCAGTCATTCTTAGAAAATCCATCATACGGCTTATCACTGGTGTCCAATCCTGAGAGAGCAATGTCTCCAATCTTTTCATTCTTTTTGACTCCACAGGTGTTACCATAGCTGTCATAGCCATTTCGTAAGCGTAGAGGATTTCCATACACCAGAGCAAATGCAGCAATCAATATCTGTCAACAACGCAAAATTAAGGTTGCTTCAATATGTATTTGGTAAAATATAGATAAATTAATTCATCAAAATCAGCAGCAAGTCCAAATTGATTTCATATCAATTAAGACATTAGGATAATTCAATTAAACTTACCATGAGCAACCAAAATAAAATAAAAAATGCCAACCATAGCACGTCAGTACAACTACGTTGTTGATTGGTGCCCTTTTGAGGCGGTTCTGGATCACTGTCTTCATCACCACAACCACAGCAACTCATTCCTAGCGAGAGAAAATTGATTTAAAATTTTGAGGGGCTGTTCTTAGTGTGAGTTGGGTTGCAACACCACTTGAGTTTTCTTTTTTCTAATGGAATTTCATTAACCCCACCCACACCCCCATTTGGTTAACACGCCCACTCGTACTTCGGTGCAAAACATAACAGGATGAATTTAAAAATTTACAATTTTCGTAAGAAAACTTGATACCATACTGTTTAAGAAAGAAAAACAGGTGTATCGAAATTCATTCAATACTAAACCAAACGCATAGATATAAACTCGGCCGGAGGGAAGGCAAGATTTTATCGCAATGGGTAGTGGACGGCAACAGTCAGTTCGTACCGTACACACGTCAACGTAAAGGAACAACAGATGTGGATAATTTAAACAACATTCTTATTGTGTCCTTGAGGATAGAGCTTGTTCACACTTACTGTATGGGAGGTCAGTTGCAGTATGAAGAGGAAAATGGATGAAACCAGGTCAGCGGGACAAGTATTTAAACTTGTTCTGTTTACATGATACCAAACCACAGATGCTTTTAAAATGGACAGCCGACAAAATGGCCGGCGTGGCGTGGGATTTGTTTGGGAGTGCAAAAACAGTGGAGGGGGAAACTATCGCCGGTCTTTCAGCCAATCAGATGCAGCCTGAGATTTGATTCCGAGCAACACAAACGAAGTGGTGCTTCTCTCATCTTGAAGAGGCTCTAGGGTCTGGGGTCTGGGGCAACTCAAGAATCATGCATAAGTCCGTCTAGCTGAAAGTTTTGCGTCTATTTTTTACTGTTTGTGAATTATATCTCGTGTGTCAGGTGCTGTGGATGTATCAGAACGATGTGAACTCTCTACCATTTAAATGTAGTAGGATAAATCTCTATCATATCGTCTGTCTTATTCTTTTAAAAATCATCTTTAGATTTCCATTTTCAAAGAGGTTATACTGCTGCAATTGTTTAAGATGTGGTGGTCTCGTCACACTCTGCTTTCTTGCTTAAATAGAGGGAGTCTTCAGAGTAGGGTCGATGTTGTAGCGAGTAAGCTATTGTTTTTCTCCGGTCCAATACCTAAGGAAGGGTATCGGAGTATCACAAATGAAGTACCCTCACTGCACGACACACCACGACCAGTATTTGGAAAAAAGATAGTGAAAGTAGCTCTTGTCGGTCGCCCAAATGTTGGCAAAAGCACACTCATTAATCAAGTGGTTGGTCGAACTGTAAGTATTATTTTGTTTACTCATCAGCGACATTCTTAAACATATCCTATTAATTATTTATTCTTAGACTTGCCCAGTTTCTATGAAAGCTCATACAACACGAGCAAAAGTTAAAGCTTTTGTGAATGAAGGAGATACTCAAATTGTATTTTTTGATACTCCTGGACTTGTTTCCCCACAAGAAATATCCAAGTAAGTTTCCTACTTCACAAAATTTACTAAAGTACTCCAGTAATTTTGTTACATGTCCTGCTCTAAACAATTTTCATATTTTAGATATAAATTTGAGTCTGAATTTTTGAGAAGCGCTGAAGAAGCAATACAGGAAGCAGACGTAATAGGAGTTGTTCATGATGCCTCTTTTACGAAGATTCCTGAACTAGATCCTCTAACTCTCCGCCTTCTGCTTCTGTACCAACGTAAAGGGAGCTTCTTAGTGCTAAACAAGGTACTTGTAATGCTGTCTTTGCCCTTATTTTCATCTTAAGTCTGTTTTTAATTAAAAAAAATTGAATCCAGGTCGATGCTTTGAAAAGAAAGCATAATCTCTTAAATTTGGTGACTGCATTGACTCGAAAACCCAAGTCTCACATTGTTGGCTCAGATAAACTCACTGAGCAACAAGTTGTTGGATATTTAAAAAATACAACATCCTGGCCTCATTTTAGCGAAGTTTTTATGATTTCAGCTCTTAATGGAGATGGAGTTGGAGACATTAAGGTATGAGTGTGTTAAATTTTGTTGTGCAGTTTATCACTGGATAGAACTATATAATTTCTTTTTTTTTTTTTTTTTTTAATTAAAGGAATTTTTGCTTAATGAAGCCCAACCAGGCCGATGGTTAGTGAAGCAGAATAAAGTCACAAACCCTGACAAGTTGGCTATTGACTTTGTTAAAGCAGCGTGTTTAGACTTTCTTCAAGATGAAATTCCTTATACTCTGACCTTTAAGCTCAATTATTTTGAGGACTATGAAGGTGAAATTGGGAACATTTTTGTCATATTATTTTATGGAGAAAATCACTTTTGACTGATAGCCTTTTCTTCTGCAGATAAATGTGCAATTGAAGTTTCTGTGATGACAAAAAACAAGCGACATTACAGAATGACAATGGATAAGGTGCGACCCATTGCAGCTTATGCAGAATCTCATCTTGCTAGTGCACTCGAGAAGGAATGCCGTCTCAGAATACAAATAACAACAAAAGATACGGACGAATAACTCATTCCATAATAATAATTATGAATAAAACAAGTAAAACCCAGAATGACTGATAGTATTTATTTATTACAAGAGAAATTTACACAATCCAGTACAGTGTTCAAACCATCTAACCCGACAAATTGATCGGATTATAGGCGCTATTTATTTTTTGATAAAGTACGTTGCTTTTCCGCGTGCTCTACAATCTTCATTGTCACTGGCAGTCCCTTCCGCCGCCGCACATTGTCCATGTAATGACGAGCCCTGTTGCCGGAGTCAGCCTTCTCGCCAAAGTGAAGGTACTCTTCCTCGGTTGATGGGACCCAGAACGGATCCAAGTCGATAACCTGCAGACAAAGATTTCAGAACAGTTATTCAATAGACAACCTTGGCGTACGAAATCGGTACTGTTCTGTCGCCAGGCGTAGGCGTCCAAGGTGTGGCTCGGGTGCAGGTTGGGTTGCCTACGCAATAGGCGCTTCGTGCAACGTAAACCAACCATCAGAGACTCAAGCCGCCTGCGAGGTAGTCAACCCAACCATCACTGCACGGCGCTTACAAAGCACGGTACCTAATACAGATTTTCAGAGAGTTGCGAGTCCCGGTTCGCCTCGAGGGCCAGACGGGTATCTAGTTACAGCAACTTCTTCGGTTCCACTAACCAGCCTTAGCACTCGCCGGCCCCGCAAACGCCGATGGAGGCTAACCCATCGACAACACCCCGAAAACGCCCCAAAAATTGAAAATTTGGATACGGTGACGGAAACCAGAGAAACCACAAACGTGGCTAAGTTCGAGGCACGGCAGGCACTCCCCGGCAGCCTGCTCCCGGAAGCGGCCGTCGCCACCGAGTCCCGCACCAGGGTCTGGGCTTGCTGGGCTGGGCCCTGGCCAGGCTGTTGCCCCCAACTACCATCATTCAGTTATTGCAGCCTTTAAAGTGTTTGTATTTACACTGCAGGTCGCCGGGGGTACGGCGCGGCGGGGAGCCGCCGGCCCCGCCGTCGAGACGATTGTCCTGGCCGCCCCGCCCCGCCCCGCCCCGCCCCGCCCCGCCTCAGGCCAGGCTCCAGCCGGGTCCACTGGCGCCTACCTCCGGAAGGAACCGCGTCTCTCTCCCTCATCCGCTGTTGCTGGCTTGTACGGGGAGTGCCGGAGCCAGCCCCAGCCCGGGGCCCCGGCCCAGCCCGGCGGACAGGGACAGGGCTTTATCGTCTGTCTCTGTCCCTCTGCTGCGGAGGTTCTGGCCGCCTCTGGCCGGCCCGGCCGCAGGCCCCGCGAGTGCGACAGAGAGCGCCCACCGCACGGCGCGGCCGCGTCGCTTCCGGACGCGATCCTGGCCGAGGAGCGGAAGTGAGGCTGACGCCGGGAGGAATGCGCCCGGCACAGGGCCGGACACAAAGCGGGCGGGGCGGGGCGGGCAGGGCCTGTTTGTAAAACGCGATAGCGGCGAGGAACGGCGTAGCCCTGATGGGGCCGCTGACGGCAATGGACGGATCTTAACTACCGTCCAGGACAGTCAGATCTGATTCTCCACGAAGCGGACGGAGCCCGCCGAGCTTCGCACAGGTTCGGGTCGGCCGGCGACATCACTAACTGTCCCCGCGTCAGTCATCGTCTATTTGGCGTCGTTTCGACACATTCTACGACAAGTCTAAAATGATCCTCATTCGTCCGCATTGTACAGTCACCAGTGGTCCACGGCGCTTTCCCCGGTCGTCACCGATGTCACTGGAGAAAGTGACTAAGCATCCGCAGCGCCCCTGGAGCAAGGGGTGAAGCGTGCCTCCGCTGGGCCACAGGAGGGTGAAGGGCTGAAGAAAGGGACGAGGCATCCGCAGTGCTACTGGAGGAGAGGACGAAGCATCCGCAACGCCACCGGAGGAGGGCTTTGAGAGAAGGATGAAGCGTCTGCAGCGCCACTGGAGGTGGGGCCGAGACGGGGGGATGAAGTGGAGCTCCAGATTCCCGCCGCAATTGTCCACTTCCAGTCCAGTGCTATAACTGAAGGAGGGCCGAGTCCGCCCTGCCCCGCCCCGCCCAGCCTCACCTGGACCGTTTCATTCGCGTCAAACGAGTGGAGGCTCCAGCCAGACCACGCCCCACCTGTCCCGCCC